TGTTTGCAGTCTCACTGTTTGAATATCCACTTTGTATGCTTTAATTCTGTAACTTGAACAACTATTTCTAAGATGACAATATGTAATCTATTAACTAGTGATTTCTTACTGTTTATTTTTTTGAAATTCTGTATTACTTGTACCCTTTTACTGTTTTATTTCTTTTTCTTTAAATAATTTTTTTTTTTAAAAAGTACGGTAGCAGCCAGGCATGGTGGCGCACACCTGTAATCCCAGCACTGGGCAGTCTGCAGCAGGAAGATTGCAGTGAGTTCCAGGCCAGCCTGGGCTACAAAGTGAGTTCAGGGCCATCCCGAACTGCATAGACAGAACCCGCCTCAAAAAAGACTGATCATAATATTAATAATACAGTGGCTACTGATAGCATATAATATTTTTGTTCTCATTATAGGAAATGTAATCAAGAATAAAGAGGGACATATAAATGTTTAAGATGTCAATCCACTGAGATATCACATCTCTAAAAATGTATATTTCAACAATAGAGCTTCATGGAACTGAGGGTATAGCTCAAGAGGCATAAGTATGCTTAGCATGTGGAGTGTACTGGATTCAGTACTCAACAACAAAAGAAAAAAAACAAAACTTCAAAGTATGTAAAGAAAAAAGTGACAACATTCAAAAAAAAATAAACAAATCCAAAAATATAGTTGAAAATTTCAAAACTTTTCTCAGAAAACAATGTAAAAATTTTTTAAAAAGCATAGAGAAGAACAACACATTATCTTACCCTAATTGAGGTTTGAAAAACTTCCTGCTCAACAAACACAGACACACATTCCCTTCATACACACATGGAAAATTTGCTGAAATAGACTATACACTAGATAACAAAATAAATTTACATTTGTAAATTAACAAATGTAAAAGAATTGAAATCAGACTAAATATAATCTCTGTCTCTGTTCATAATAGTACTAGTCTCAAAATTAACAGCAGGAAAAAAACTCTTAAATATTTGGAAATTTAGTAGCATACTTCTAAGTAGTGATCCTTGTTCTGAATATTTGTTTATCCTGAGAACACTGGTGTCACTTCTTAAATCTCTGTCTCTATCTCGGTGTCTGTCTCTCTGTCTGTCTCTCTCTCTCTCTCTCTCTCTCTCTCTCTCTCTCTCTCTCTTTCTCTCTGTAACCAGGGATCAAACTCACAACCTCCTGCTTGCCAAGCAGGCACTTACAACTTACACGACTGAGCTAAATTGTCAGCCATTCACACTTCTAAATGGGTAACAAAAAAAGGAAATAAAATATCTTGAGCTGAACAAAGTAAAACATACTAAACTTTGTGGACAGCATCTAAGCACTACTAAAGGGAAATCAAAATGCCTTAGAACAATAATATTAGCATATAATTTATGAAACTGTAAAACAAGATTATCAAATAAAACCAAAATAAACAAGAAAAATATTAAGCAAGCAAAGATATTTAACAATTTGACCCATACAAAAAATAAACAGGCAAATAAATTATAGAGATTATGGAAATAGCAGATATGAATGTTAAAGCAGTCATTATAACTTGCCACATATGTGGATGAAAAAAAGAATATAATGAGAAAAGGAAGAGACTAAAAAAGAATCAAATGAAGTATCTAGAGATCAAAAATATATTATCAAAAATAAATCACAACCATGAGTCAGCGCCATTCACGGACTGCAGAGGGAGAGAGGCAGGCCTCACAAGGAAGCGATCCCCTCCTGGAAACCATATCATTTTCACTGTTTTGTTGTGTTGGTTTTTACTTGCTTTTGTTTTGTTTGATTATGTTAAATCTGATGGCATGAGCAGCTATTTGAAAGAGAACAAGACATATTGTGGTAACTATTTTGGATTTACTATTGGCTTGTTTTGAAGTCCTTTATTGCATTAATTGTTTTGTTTTTATTGTTTCTACTCTATTCTGTTCTGTTCAATTTTTACTATGTCCGAAGGTATCTGCAGCTATTTTGAAGACAACAACAGGCATTCTGGTAACTACTGCTGATTTTGTAAGGTTTTGAAGTCATGGATCACTTATATTAGTTTACTTTGATTGGTTTTGTTCTTTATTATCTACCTTGGTTTTATCCACTTTAAATTTTTAAAAAATTCACAAGAAAGGACTAATTGCAGCTTAGATAATGGAAACTAAAAGATCAAAGAGCATAAGGACATACTGACAGAAATGATCCAAAATTATAGTGCAGGAAAAAAAGATTAAAAAATAATGTAATAACCTGTAAAACAAAGCCAAGCAGTCAAATGCTTATGAAATGGGAATCCAAAAGAGAAAGGAGATGAAAAAATAGGGAAAAAATAAGGAAATAAAGCCAAAAATTTTCCAAATGATGAAAAATACAATTTACAGATCTCAGAAATTCAATGAACTCTAAGCAAATTAATATAAAGACAACCATCAAAACACCACAATCCAATTGTTGCAAACCAGTAGGAAAGAAAAGAAAACGTTAAATGCATCCCCCCAAAAAAGAAACATTATAGGAACCAACGTAAGGAATGAACATTTCTTATCAAAAAATATTCAAGCTAGAAAACAAAAGAATCATATTGTTAATGCTTTTTTTAAAAGTTGGACATGATTTAGTAGACAGAAAATAAAACTCACCACATAAAAAAGGATCTCGAAAGTTAGGCATGGTAGCACATGACTATAATCCCAACACTCTGGAAAAGAGGCAGGAATATTGCAGTTTGAGACCACCTGAGTAACTTAGCGAGACTCTGCCTAAAATATTAAAAAAGAGATCTGGGGATGTAGCTCATTGTGAAGGCCCTGGGTTCAATCCCTGTATAGTGTGTGTGCATACACACAGACACACACATACACAAAAGATATTAAACTAAGAAACTATTGCACACACACACACACACACAAAATAATAACAAAGAAACCAAATTAACAATGGGCATACTATCTAAATAAACATTTTTAAAGAGAAAAATTACAAATGGCCAATGAATATTTTAATGAAAATGTCCACTATCATTAGCCATCAGGGAAATGTAAATCAAAACTACAATAAGATATCACCTCACTGAATTTAGGATAGTTGTTATCAAAAAGACAAATGATCACAAGTGCTGACGAAGATGTGAAAAAAAATAGGAACTCTCATATAGTATCGTGGGAATGTAAATTAGTATCCCCATTATGAAGAACAGTAAGGAAGTTCTTTAAAAAAACTACAGAGTTACACATGATTCAACTATACCATAACCAAAGGAAATTAAGTCAACACATTAAAGAGATACCTATACTTCCATATTTATTCCGGCAGTTTTACCACAGTCAAGATATGAAGTCACCCTATATGTCAATAGATGGATGAGTGAATAAAGAAAATGTGGTCCATAAACACAAAGAAATACTATTTTGTCATAAAGAACGAAGTCCTGTCTGTTACAGTTAAAATAGATGGAACTCGAGGGCATTGAGTGAAAAAACTCAAACACAGAGAGATATCACATGTTCACTCTACTATTTACAGACAAAGATAACAACAAAAGAAAAGTTAATCTGAATATAAAACAGTGCTAAAGGCTAGGAAGGCATATACAAGGAATTTGGATAACAGGTACAAAACACTTAGAAAGAAAGAATAAATTCTATGTTCCACACCAGTGAGAAGACTCAGCTCATAATAACCTATGGTACATTTCATGAAGATCCAGAGGACAGAAACTCAAAGATTCCAAACATAAAGAATAGGAGTACAATCGGAGGACAATTGCTAAATGCCCTAATTTGGCCACTGAACAATTTATGCACGTTGAAGTATCTCACTGTACCTCATAAAGATATACAATCAATGCATTTTAATCAAAAACATAAAAAGGAAATAATAGTGCAATAAAATAAAAAATGGGAAATAGTATAAAAGTCAATTAACCAGCACTCTAGGAGGCTGACACAGGCGGATTGCAAGTTAGAGCCTAACCTGGGCAACTTAGTGACTTAACGAAGACAGTGTCACAAACTAAAAAGTAAAAATAAGGCTGAGTAGATTGCTCAGTGCAAAACTCATGTGTTTAATGTTCGGTACCAATTAATAGATAGGTAAGTAGATTGATAATTAAACCAAAAACTGATTTTTGTTAAATCAATGAAATCAATAAATCACTAGTAAAACTAAAATGGCGCAAAAAAATATGCTTTATCAATATGAGAAATGAAAAACTCACATTATTATGGATGATACAGACAATAAAAGAATAATAATGAAATATCATAGATAAGTTTAAAACAAATTCAAAAATTTAATTGAAAGGAAAAATGTTTGGAAGATGCAAGTTACCAGAACTGACACAGGAATAAATTCTGCAATCTGAGTAGTGGTATATTAAAAAATTTAATGTAATAGTGAACACTTCCCCATAAAGATATTTCCAGGCCACATGGCTTTATGACTGAATGCCATGAAATATTTGAGAAGGAAATAATACCAACCATACACAAACTCACTGGAAAATTTTAAAAGTTCACTGCTAAGTCAGTTTATGAAGTGTATATTTCTCCAGTACCAAAGCCAGGTTTTTAAAATCACATGAAAATAAAGCTAAAAGTAAATATAATTTATGAAACTAGCTACAAAAATATGAAATGTGGTCAAACACTAAGCTAATGTTTAAATTTTAAATTTTTCTTTCAGTAAAACACACATTGTAATTAATCCCTCTCCATAGAGTCCCCTCAAGGCAAACACACTTCCTCCATTAATCTTGCCTGTGGCTAAAGCAATTCTGGAATCCTCTTTTGTCAAAGTCTTCAGTTGCACTGTCATGGCAGCATCTATGTCCCGAATCTACTTAAAACATTAACCTTTTGGCTGGATGCGGTGGCACACACCTGTAATTCCCCAGCACCTGGGAAGCTGAGGCAGGAGTATCACATCAAATCCGAGGCCAGCCTGGGGTACAAGGTGAGTTCAAAGACAGCCTGAATTACACAGCAAGACTCTGTCTCAGGCATACTTTTTTTAAACATGGGATGCATCAAGAATTTGTGTGTCATCCTTGTGCAAAACTATGCTAATCTCTGTATCGTTCCAATTTTAGTATATGTGCTGCCCAATCAAGTGCTGTCTCAAGAATCCTTAAAAACAAACAAACAAAACCAAAAAATTACATTTCATGTTCATTTCTTTATTTTAGGGAAGAGCCATAAGCCACAAGGGCTAGGTCAAAAGTGAATGAAGCCTTAAAGTAAATGAATACAACACTTTTCTTTAGCCTGCCTTCCTATTAGATGGCACTTGGCATCTACTGCGTTATTTATCATTTCTCATAAAGACTCACAAAAGGTGAGTCAAACCTCCAAAACTGTTTCAGAACGTGGCAAGAAGGATGGGATAAGTGTGTTTGAAGCAAAGAGGATTTTGAGACAGATTAATGACAATGTGTCTGTTACTGTAATAATTTTTTTAACATAAGAGATAATAAAGGGCACAGTACTGCATTCCTATAATCCTGGCATTGTGGATTGAGGCAGGGGGATCACCAGGAGTTCAAGGACTGTGTGTGCTATTTAATTAGAGGCCAGCCTGAACTACCTAGCAATACCCTGTCTCAAAAAAAAAAGGTCACTGTATACTGTATTTTGATCAGCCTTTGTATGTTAGCAGAATATTAATAGACTGAAAATATATGGTCATCCTGACAGATGCAGAAAAAGTGATTGACAATATTCATTATCTATTCAGGATTTTTTTAAAAAAATCTCAGCAAACTAAGAGAAAACTTCTTCATGCAACTAGTAAAGAGTATTCACACGAAACTAATAGTAAATAATTATATTTTATAATGAAAGTTTGAATGCTTTTCTCCTAAGAACGATTTCTGTTCTCACTTTTTATACTAATATCCCTTGAATGCATAAGAATACAAGAGAAACAAAAGATATATAGAGTATTTTAAAAAGTGAAAACATAATTTTTACCATTACAATAACTACATGAATAAAAACTTCTGTTATGGGGCCAGGGGTTCAGCTCAGCAGGCATAAGTGCCATTAGCAAATGAAATTTTTAAATCAGTATCACTTACCATAATATTATAAGAACATTTTTAATATATGCTCAAGACTTCTTCTCTGAAAGCTACACAACTGTAGCCCAAGAAGCCAAGGAGCTGGGAAGGGAGATGTATCCTTCCAATTCATACCCCAGTGGCCTGTCTGTTCTAAACAGATCCCACGTTGTTTGAGGGATAATCTTCCTCAAAAAACTAAAAATAGAAATTAATTTGACCCTGCTATACTACTTCTGGGTATCATCCTGAAAAAGTTAAAAGACATATTACAGGGATACAAGCATGCCTATGTTTTTAGCAACACAACTCATAATAGCTAAATATTGGAAGCCACCCACAAGTACATCAATAGATAAATGGGTAAAGAAAAAATGGCATATATACACTAATGCATGGAAAACTACTCTGCCATAAGAAGGGTAAATTTGACTCATTTGTAGGAAAATGAATGTACCTTAAGACCATAGTGTTAAGTGAAAAAAGGAGAAACCCAAAATACAAATAAAGAGCAAAATAAAAGATAATGAGAAAAACAGACTCACTTGTGGACTTAGGAAGGGGATCTTCAGATGGGGAGAAACAGAAGAAGAGGAAGGGAAGTAAAAACGAGGGGCTGGGGATTTAGCTCAGTGGCATAAGCACCTGCCTTGCAAGCAGGCAGTCGTGAGTTCGATCCCTGGTACCGATAAAAATGAAAAAGACAAAAAAAAATGATTAGAGCACACTGTATATTAATATGATTCTTTGTACTGCAAACATTGTCTAATAAAAAGATATCTTCTGCACTACATTTAACCAACTCACATGATGAAGGCACAGAATCGGTGGCTACACTGCGTGACAAACGTGTCCCACAGCACCCACACAGGAGACATCTGGGGCACAGAAGAAAAAAAATGTTAGAAGTCACACAGAGCCTGGTAGAATCATGTAAAACTTCAAGGGAAGGATTCAGTATCCATAGAACAATAAATCCATCAAGAATTTTATCTTATTATTTTACTAATACATGTTTGTAGTACATAATAATTATTCCCATCACTATGGAAAAAGGTACACATACATAATATATCTGTATTATCTTTATTCTCCTTCACCAATTTGTCCCCTGAATCGCTCCATCTCAAGATCCCATACCTATTTACCAAAGATCTATCTCTCTATTTCCTATTTATCTTTTCTTTTGATCTTTATTTATAGCTTGAGTTTCTCAGGTAAAAGAAGCTATGCTACACTTAAATTTACATGTCTGATTTATCTTACTTAACATGATCTCAAGAGCATCCATTTCCCTATGGACTCAAATTTATCCTTCTTTATGTCAAATTAATGCTCCATTCTAAATAAATACATTTTATTTATCTATTCATACATTGATGAATATATAGGCAGCTTCCATGACTAAACCACTCATTCCATCAATATTTTTTTAATTATCAACTAATGATGTTAAAAGTGGAATCAGATAACTGCTATGCCCTACTATCAAATCTTGGAATTATATGAAGTACGATTAAAATACTCAATGAATGTTTACATTTATATAAATATGTATATAGACATGATACCATTAATCCCCTTCAAAAACTCCACTTTCTTAAAATACACTCATCCCATCATTATTAGTGTTTTCTGAAGCCATTCTGAAGGTATTCTCTCATGAGCATTTCTATTCATGCTCTTGGGCATCTTGATGTAATGAACCTATTCAAAATATTTATCTTTCATAGTCATTTTTACTTTGAGAAAGAACAAGAAGTCATATGGTTCCAGATCTGGCAAATAAGGTGAATGAGGACACACCATGTTTTTAGGAGCCTGCCATTCCACTGGAAGGCTCCTGACAGCAAGCATTCACTATGTTCTTTTCATCACGTCTTGTAAATATAAGGAAAATGCATTTCCACAACTGCTTCAGACAGTGCCAAGAATGATGGGATTCAAAGTGAGGGAGAATGTTTTTGACAAGGATTAATGGCAATGAGTCTTTTACTGTAAAAAAAAAAATATTTATTTATTTATTTATTTATTTATTTATTTATTTTGGTACCAGGGATTGAATTCACTATCTCATGTTTGCCAAGCAGGCACTTAACGCCACTGAGCTAACCCTCTGGCACCTTTTTACTTTTTCTGAGACAAGATTTTTCGTTGTAGCCCAGATGGCCTCAAACTTATGGCAATCCTCCTGCCTCAGCCTTTCAAGTGCTGGGATTACAGGCATGCACCACCACACCCTGACAAAACTTTTTTTAAACATTTACCATATATGTTGATCACACCTGATAAACACGTTTGGAATTGGATCATTAAATGGAGCCATGAAAAATAAGCACAAAGTTTCACCTTGTTTTCAAGCTCTTCATTCCCAGACCTGCGTATTCTGGTTAAGGAAAAACAGCGCCAGGTATTATCAGTGCTCCTCTCCATCTCCAAAGCCAGCATGGTGAGATGGACCCTCACATTACATCACTCCAACATCTTGTCCAACCACCTCCTTGTACTTTTAAGGATACTTGAGATTATTCTGAATCTTTCTGAGTAATCCAGAAAAATCTACTCTCTCAAATCTTTAGCTATATTTTCAAAATCTCTTTTTGCCATGTAAGGTAACATATTCACAGATTTCAGGTGACAGGGTTTTGGCCCAGGCCGGATACTGTAGCGGGTAAAGCCAGGAAGCTCCTATCTCCCCCTACCCTTAGGAATTACCTCTGGCGCCAAACTAAGACCAGTGGGCTACCTGTGCATCCCTAATGCCCCCTTAGGTTCACCCCAGGCTGAGGCTACTTATGTGCCTCACTCCACGTGCTTCACATGGCCCCCCGGGGTGGAGATGCCAGCCCCAGGGGGCCGGGGGTATCTCTCCCCGCATTACCAAAATAAAGGTTATTTATATCTCATACTTCTTATCTTTTCAGCCGCCCCGCCGCCCCCCCCCCCAATGCCTCACAGTTCTATCACCAGGAACCAAGACATGGACATTTAAAGCGATCATACATTTGATGGCTCAACTGCAAAGAAATATTCCACATTTCTTTAAAATACAGTAATTTGATTGAATATAATGGGATATCTTTGGGGTTGAAAAGAACTACACAGAATTCTTTAACCATTTTCAGCAGTCATATTTTGGTAGTATTGTTGGTATTATTAACTGTACAATTTTTTAGTCTATTATGGAGAAACACAAATCAGTAATTAAATTGCTGAGGTAGGACATAGGGATTTTCAGCATGAGAGAAAGGGAGCACAAATTTAAGGTTAAGATGTCTAGACCACTACATACTGGTAAAAAGAACAATTCAACAGGAAGAGATAATGAGTGCAAATGTTTATGTACTGAATGTTAGTGCTTAACCCTGTAGAACAAAAACCGCTAGATTTAAAAGGTAGATATCAACCCTGTCCAGGTGGGGAACTTCAATACTCTTCTCTCACTATCAGTCAACCAAACAAACAAAAAATCAACAAGGAAACCCAGGTCATCAGGACTTTAAGTTTTCTTCAAAATGTTTCATAGTTTTAGTTTTCACATGTAGATCCATGATTCATTTTGTGTTACTTTTGTATACAATAAAAACAGTCCAGTTATTCCTGTACTGTTTCCTTGCAGATGTTTTTCTTTGCTATTGACTTGTTTTTGTACTTCGCAAACAAATCAAATTATTGTAAAAGTACAGATCTTTAGGGGGCCTCTTCATTCAGTTGCATTGATCTGTCTGCATTCATGTCTTGATCATTATAGCTTTATAAGGATTGGAATCAGGTAGTGTGAGGCCTCCAACTTTTTTTAAAAAACTATTTGGCCTAATATAGTTTTCTCAGTTTTGATATGAAGTTTAGAATCAATTTGTTGATTTATACTTCCCCCATAAAACACTTGATATTGAGATGGGGTGGCACTAACGATCAGATCAGTTTAGGGGGAATTTTCAACATTAGAGCCTCCTGGCCATGAATGTAATAACTTTCCCCTGTATTTGATTCTCTTCTAATTTCTCCCAGCAATGTTTGTAAAGTTTAAAAGTCTTGTACATCTTTGGTAACAG